AGTCAGATTAAATAAAAGCCTATGATTTGAAGAAATAAATTTCTGTAAAGCAGCACACAGCATAATTCTCTACCTTGCAAATCTTCAAAGAATTCTTTCTCATTGGCACAGAACTGAATATATTTTCTAACTTGTTCTATAAGACTTTTGAAGGAGCATGAGTCCTAATCACTGTTGCCTGCAAATCTTCAAAGAATTCTTTCTCATTGGCACAGAACTGAATATATTTTCTAACTTGTTCTGTAAGACTTTTGAAGGAGCATGAGTCCTAATCACTGTTGCCTGCTGGTTATTAGCCATACCTTAGTTGTTTGGATAGAAGCTGGGGAGAAACTGGTTTCTAGGCTGGGCCCTTATTCAGAGAAAGAAAAACACATCTGAATTTGGGCAAATGATGGATTCACTTAGGTTTCAGGCCAGTTTATAGCACGGAGACTTCGGGTGATATTGGTATATCTGTCCTCCTTGATATTTCAGTGGCCTTCGATACCATCAATCCTGGTATTCTTCTGAGCTGGCTTAGAGGGTTGTGAGTGGAGGACACAGTTTTACAATGATTCTCCTCCATCCTCCAAGGCCAGTTCCAGACAGTGTTGGGGACGGGGAGGTCTAACCCTAGGCTTCTGTTCTGCAAGGTGCTTCAGGGCTCACTGGGTGAGGTTGTTTGTTAAAATAGGGTTAAATATCACTATGCTGATGATACTCAGTTATAATTTCTGACTTGGCCATCCAACTCTTGGGCCATCCTATCAATGTTCTTTCTCAGTGCCTGGAAGCTATGAGGGTCTAGATGAGGAAGAATAGGCTTAACTGATCCCTGGCAAGACCAAGAGACTGGGTTTTAGGCTCACCCCCACCCCATATGCATATATTCCATTATTAGTTCTGGGTAGGGTAGTATTTCCCAGACAGAGTTGGAGTGCAATTTAGGGTCTTCCAGCACTCAAGCTCTTGCTCAAGGAGCACATGGCAGCTATGGCCAGGAGAGCCTTTGCACAAATCCAGTTGGACTATTGCAATGCACACTACATGGTGCTGCCTTTGAAAAGCATTTGAAAGCTGCAACTGGTCCAGAATGCCACAATACATGCAGTTTTGGAGGTACCAAGGTATGCCCACATAACATTTCTACTGCATGACTTCCCATAGGCTTTCAGGTGCAATTCAAGGTGCTGGCTGTCACCTTTAAAGTTCTGCATGGCACAGAGCCCAGTTACTTGTGGGACTGCCTGTCTCCAATGGTTTCTGCCTGTACCACAAGATTGCAGAGTGCCCGCTTGCAGAGTGGGCATGCTCCAGGCCCCTTCTGTGAGTCATCTACAGAGACCCAGGAGGCATGACCTCTCTGTCACCACACCTGCTGTATGGAACAGCATGCCCCTTTCTCCCAAGATGGTCCCTACCTTGTTGGCCTTCCAGAAGGCTTTGAAAACCTGGATTTTTCCTCAGGCACTGGGGCCAGGGGAGTGGAGCTCTGTATGGGTCTACTGTTCTGCGTTGTGAGACAGTTTTGCAAGGAGCCTTTTTTTAAAAAATTCTATGTTGCCACATGGCTTTTATATTATATTAATAAAACACATGTTTTGTTAGCCACCCAGTTTGGTTAAGAAGGGCAGCCATATAAATTCATCCACTAAATAAATGCATCAATAGCATAGCAAAGACTTCTTCCTCAGGTTCCCCCTGAGTTCCTGGTGCTTCCCCCCCGATGGCATTCCAGAAAGCCCTAAAGACCTGGGTTAAGGTGGTTGGGACTCCTGTTGCATATGTTTGCATGTGTTGTTAGCCAGAGTCACCATCTCGTTCTTTATTTCTTTTTTCTCCACTCAGAGACCATCCACAGTTGGGTGATGCCTAAACTGAATAAAGAGTCACTGTTATGAAATGGGTGGCCATATAAATCATTAAATTCAATTACATTGCTGGGCATGTAGAAACTATTTTGCTGTCCACTCTATCTGTCCTATCTGCCTGCTCAACCTGAAAAAATAAAATAAAATTAGATATTACACTTTCAACAAACCTGTAAAAGTCCACAGTTCTAGTCTCCAAACGCTCAGAGAGGAGGAATCTAATAGGCTACAAATTTCACAGTTTGGAGGCAAAATACATTCAATATGCAGTTTGACCATGTGTATGTATTTGTTTTCTTCAAATAACAGTCATTTGGGGAAGGAAGGGAAGTAGTTTTATTTTAATGTTCCTTCCCTTTCAGCCTCTGCTATTACCCTTCTTGCAAATAAGAGGATCCTGTTGATGTAGAGAGATACTCAGATAGAAGTTTCGGACACTGGAATACAGAACTTAAAAAAAACCCTTCTCCACATTGTATTATTTATACAAATAAATATGCTAGGCTACCTATGGATGTAACACAAAATTAATTTGGTTCTGAAGAAGCAGAAGAGAAGATTGACTTGCTAGGGTTTACATTTGTTCTTCCGTAAATAATAAAAATATATTTAGAATATTTTTTCAGAAAATATGAATTCACAAAATGGCAAAGAATTTTACAGATAAATATGTGCCATATCTTGATATAATGTCTACTGAATACACTTCATGAGATATAGATCTTTGATTATATGTATGTATGTATGTATGTATGTTCGTTCTGATACCAAGATACTGACTTTTGCACCAAAGAACTCACGTATACACTGTTTTTGCATAATAACACACAGGATTTCAGTATTTGTGCAGAAGATTTCTGAAGAGCGAACTAAAATCTCACAAGATTTCATCCATTTTTGGGGGGGAGGGGGTGGATGCCATTAAGAAGTCTGATGCGCCCCTTGGTACTCAAAGCTACCAAGTTGCCAAGCTCTGCTCTATATTTAGTAATATTCCACATACTCACATGTTCTGAGGATGTTTCAAGGGTCCTCCAACCAGAAATAAAAGAGGTCCAAATAGAAGCTCTTTGAAACACACCCTTTGGATATGGCCAACATTTCATAAGAGGTGGGCAACTGCTATCCAGAACTACATTCCTTCAAAGATCATCTGTTGTGAGCTACTGTGGGCTGGGCCAGAAAGAATAATGGGCAGAAGTACCCCTTTTCTCTCATATGTACCTATTGCATACCCATACTCGGTACACTGCTAGGAGAAGGAGCATTTCTTTTTGCCACATCTGAACTCATCTATAGCAGCAGACTTTTGAAATTAGGCCCAAGGCCACCTCTAGTTAAACTGAAGGCAACTGTTCCGCTGTCCTGTGCTCTCCGCTCCACCCATTTAAGAAATTTTGTGTCTCAGACATTCATCTTTCACCCTCTCAGGCAAATGTCTGATAAAAATTGCTTCATCCAGCTGCATGGCAGAGCTGACCCTTCTTAAACTCTCAGATATTTTTAGCTTCAAAATAAGTAGATACTGTAAAAAGGTTACCAAAAAGCTGCACTGAACTTTAAAGCCATGTCCTTTTTGTGAGAGATTGCAGGGAGGCAAGGAAAAGAACAGAATGTAGACATAAGGAATCAAATGAAAGAGGGCAAATCAGTTGGCAACTTATCCCATAAATGACAGTTCAGCCCAGGTAGGGAGAAATCCGAGAAAAAGCATCTCTAAGTCCACTTTAATAGATGAAGTTGGAAAATTCCTATCGCAGTTTCCAAGAATCTGCATTTATTCCAGATGAGCATTAAAGATATCTTACTGAAAGCTTTGTAGTTCTTGCTTCCTTGATCTTGCCCTGCTCAGCTACATGGGGCTTGACACTTTTTAATAAAACATGCGGTTCTGGGAGTAACTGCCATAAATGCTCTACCACTGAAACAATTGCAGGATGAACAGAACAGCTGATACCAAAGTCATTTTGGGAAGGGTGGTACAAATGGTGCTAAGGGCAATGACTGTAAGTGAGAGAAGAAGAAACATACATGTCTGGATTCATTACAAATTTTTCTTTCACTTGACTGTTGCTTCCCAGGGGGAATTTCTTTCTTTGCATTGGTGAAATGTTAGAAAATACAGAAAAGTGGTTGCCTGAGAATGATGGGTGCTGTAGTCCAGCACATCTAGAAGATGGTAGATTGAGGAAGCCTAAGCTGGGGAGTAACTGTGAAAAGGGGGGGAAAAATAACATTTACCTTGTGTGACAACAAATCTCTTTGGTAGTCATGGTGCCACTGGTCAAGTTGCTATGGGATCCATGTGCACGCTCAGTCACGCACACACACGCATGCACACACACACACACACAGGGCAGCCACAGAAACACCAATCAGAAATCCATCCAGAAGGTGGACTTTCACCTCCATTTCAATTTAACTGCCAGTTGGTTAGAGATGAGTTCATACAGCATCAACCCATCACAATTGTTGGAAATCTCATGGATGCTAAAAGCAAATGAACAAAAAAAGGTTCACATCAAGAAGAAACAGGGAGAGAAAAGGCCTGAAAAGGCAACTAGAGAAGTGAAAGGAGCAGGAGATTTCCTCAATTATGAGTGAGCTTGCTATGAAGAAAGAACCCACACATTTTAGAAGGCAGAATAATGAGGTTTTCTTAGGTCTGATAGAAGGGGAGAGGGAAGCAGGGGAAAAAAGAAATGAAGAAAGAAGAGCAAGAAATTATTTAATGTCAACTGAACCTCCTGGAAGGAAAGTGAAAGGTCATCCTCTTGTTTTGCATATCACCTGGAATCATCTAAAAGCCACCCTCCATGGAGCAGAGCCTGCAAGGCAATCAATTTTGGCACTTGGGTCTGTTGGATGTGATGTGGCCCTGCAGGTTTCCAGCACACACTAATGAAGATTCTCCATTTCCTCCTAGGTCCTACCATTTTCCCTCCAGAACCTCAACGGTAAGGAGAGGCAGTGGAGACCAATCCTCTAAGATGTTCATTTGGACCAGTGGCCGGAGCTCCACATCATACAGGCATGATGAGAGAAGGTACGTGGCGTCCACACTGCTTTAGGCATGTGCTTGGCTCCTTGCGTAACAAGTTTGACATGCTAGCTATTCCTTGACTAAGATTGTGAAAGTGTCATCAAGAAATAACAGTTAACGATAGTGGCATTATTGGTAATCAGGAATGTTAGGAGAGAGAATTCTAAGCAATTGCCTCTCCTTTCTCCAATGCTGTTCACATCTGTGCCACCATGAACAGATAAAAATTTGTATAGTAATTATCAGGGGGGAAAAAACGAAGAATAATTCAGACGGACATGGAAAGCCGCTACACCTCCGAACTGTGATACCTTATCAGAAAGCTCAACGTTGCCCTAAACTATTCTATGATATATTTTGGGAAGTACGCTGTTCTCTATTATTATTTTATATAACATTATATGAGATAGGAGACCCAAACTACAGACATCTCCTATGATTGCTGGACATTCTGGGAGGTATAATTCAGTGTCTACAGATCATCAGGTTGGGAAAGATTACTCTAATTTTTCTCTGCTCCCTTCCAACTCCTTCAACAATGAATACAAACTTTCCTGTGGAATGGGGAAATAGGGTGGGAATGTGCTCCCATCTTTTGTTGGGCTGCATTTTAGCTAGGAAATACAGTACTAGGGGGAAAAATCAGGAAATGTACAAGGGATGACCACTGGATCTAAGCTACAGAGTTCCTTGTTCCAGATATCCTGGGGCATTAAAAATAAACATTGTTTCTGTGCATGTTGATGCCCCCTGCATAGAAACACACTGGGTTTTTTTGTTAGCTATGCTGTAGCCCCCAGAGTACACTGCTGAAATTGTACTCTGGGGCTACAGAGTACAATGGTACAATTTTTTCAACAAATTGTTGAAAAAGGTAAAGAGGATTACTCCTTGTTGCATCGTGCAATCTACCATTTGCTGCAAATCATCTGTGTTCTCAGCCAACAACCCAGCATTGTCTACATGCAAAAGTACATGCATGTTAACGTCCCCAATCAGCACATCTCTAATGTCACCATACAGATTCTTCATTCATTTATCCATAAATACGTTAAACAAACTAGGACACCTGTGTGATACTCCCTGATCAGTATTGAAATCCCTTAATGAGTTTTTCTTTTTCTTTCCTCAAGTGCACTCAGAGCATATTTGGAGTGGAACATAGAAATGTCAGTGATAAATAAATAATAAATGAAGCAAATGCTTTATTTCCATCATAAATCACTATTCTTGCATTCAGCAACCAATGTTAAATTCCATAGACATGCAAAACATTCTAAAATGGATGCCTATTCTCTTCATCGTACGTTTTCCCTAAGTCAACAAGCGTATAATAAATTTCTTTCTCATGTTTATACATATCTCAGTGACGTGAAGAATCTGGTCTGTACAATCCCATGGCATAAAGCCGCATTGTACTTCCCGAACTTTGCTCGCCTCTCATACCTTTTCAGTCAGAAGAGAACAATAATGACATTTTCCCAATCCAAGATGGTATATTAAACAAGGTACATAACCATAAGCAAACCACACACACGTTTTAGCCTTTCTCCAATCAATACCTGCAGCCTTTTAACTTTTCAACATTTTCACAGAGTAAGCATTACTTACTTCTCATCCATTTTTCTTTGACACTAACATTTATGACATTTGTTTCAGTTCTACGCTTCCCATACAAATCTCTAAAATACTCCTCCCACTAGTCCTTCATCTTAATTTTACTCCAAATAATTTCATTGTTTTTATTTTTAATTCCATTCACTCTGCTGGAGCCTCCCTGTTTAGCCCTCTTTCCCCACTCCCAAAAGAGTTATTTACTTCCATCACATAAATAAATAAATATCTGTATTGTTATTTTAATCCCAATTACATATTGGGGAGTTCTATGCAATGGAAAATCAGTCAGTTGGAGTGGTGTATAAGCCTGACTGATTGACTGATGGATTGATTGACTAATGGATTGATTGATTGATTGATTGATTGATTGATTGATTG